AAGGTAAATTAGCGAAAATATGGCTGCCAAAGTTTGGGGACTTCCATAGCTTGAGAGTCCGTGGAAACTGAAAATTTACTTTTTTGTGCCTTAAATCATTGATTTTCTGAAAAATCAACAGGGAAATTTGTTTTTAAATGGACATGAAAGGTGTTGAGCTCCCCCCCCCCAAAAAAAAGAAGAAAATAAGAAAAAACATGTTAAAAAAAATTGCCAAACGCCTTGGAAAATGCCGGTTTCTTTGACTTCATTATTTCTCGAGCGCCTGATTGGACCACGATGCCTCACATTTACAAACATATTTTATGTACACACACGTACACACACATATACACACATAATATTATATAAACTTACATATCTACTGATCCAAAAGATTTTACCCGCGTTAAAGCCTAGAAGTATAACTCTCTACCAAAGTGCACAATTCACACACAAATTGACAGGAAGCAAGCTGAACCATCCGGAAGGAGAAATCGTAACAAAAACAAAAGTGCCTTGGTATCAGCCATGGCTACTCCAAAGATCAAGTTCAGTGTTGAACAATGTATTTTCATGGTTGAAAAATATTATATCGAAACAAAGTCCCCTACACAGACATTGAATCTCTCCTGTAAACAGTTTGAAATTAACACCGTAATAAAATACCAAGTAAAGTAACAATACTTAAGTGGGTGGCAGACTTCATTCAAGCCTCATGGCTCTTTTGAAAATAAAAACAAGCGATAAAAAACTAGGGTCACCCACAGTAGTGGGAGACCGATGCAAATGCAAGTGCACACTCCCAAGAATGTGGCACTGGTGATGGAGTCTGTGAGCGAAGAACCCAAAAAGTGAGTTCGTCGTTATACAGACTTCAACATAAGTTAAGGCCAACCTTGACAGCCCTGATTTTTTAAAAAGATCCGAAAAAAGACAGCAAGGAATGTTTCAAAATTTTTTGCTCTGAAAGTGTTCATGGGTTACCAATGCGTACTACAAAGCTTCATGAAGGGGCAAAACCACCATGTGCAGCACGGAAATCCTCGGGGAATTTTAGCCAAGTTTGCTGGGTTTTTTTTATCGATTTGTGTGCAACGCCATGGACAGTAGTCAGTTAAAATTTCTGGTGCACGTGATAAACGGACGGCGTAAAATCCAGTATAGCAATCAATATACCACCGAAGATGAAAGATGAGAGACCTTGATCGTGCCAGAGCTATGGCATGGCTGCAGGATGGAATGGGAGCCCGAGAAGTTGCCAGAAGGCTTGCAATAGTGTCACACTCTGTCATTGTTCGCTTGAGGCAGCGCCATCAAACTTCTGGATCAATCCAAGAACGCCCACGTGCAGGTTGACCCAGTAAGACCAGTCAGAGTGTTTGCAACTGGTCCTTAACTTTTGGTGGAAATGTGTAGTATTGAATCAACTACTGCTAGAGAATCTGTTCAGCACATGTTGAAATACGACCTGAAGTTCAAACCGTACAAGATCCAGATACATCAAAGGCTCAGCAAATGGAACATGTCATTGACAGTATCGTTAAGCGCCCCAGAGCGTGTATCGCCCGAAACGGACGCCACATGAAGCATGTGCTCTAACTTCCTAAAAACTCTGATTTTTATTTGTAAATTTGACACAGTATATCCACCTGGTGACCAAGTAGGCCTGTGCAATCTTGAGTTTCTATCTCTATTTTAACCGTTTTTATGGGTGTCTCCGTTGGTAAAGTTTTGTATATTATGCAAAATAATCTCCAAAACACTTTACTCATCAAACGAAAGTTATCTTTTCCGGCTGCTAACAATCCAACCACCACCTACCTTTTGAGGAGCAATGTAATGTCCATTGAGGGAGAAAAAGTTTATACTAACAACATTTCCTTAATTAAAATTAGCAAAGGGTTAGATCCTTATTTCACAAATGCGATGTGGAAGTAGATCTACGGGTTGAAAACTAAAGATTCTGATCGTTCGATCACAGAATATTCTCATTTTAGTGGCAGTTAATCAAGTCAGTAAAAGTTTCCAATAACAACCCGACAACAACGCCCAACCACTAAACAGTGAACCCGTTCACACGGCAAGTTTTGTGCTGGTTTTGTATGCTACATAGCAAGATGAGCATGTCATCGGATACTGAGTCTCTCGAGGGGTCCCGTCACAAGCTGGTGGCAAGCTAGCTCACCATCTCTGCCGGCGAGTGAATACCGAGCTGCGAGGGATGATAGGTCTCAGGGGGACAGACTGAGTCATGAACAGATTCTCTCATTACTTTCAGCTCCCTCCCACCCCCTCCCACATTTCTCTGTTTTCTCTTTGGTCTCCTACCTTTTTCATTTCCTTTTTACCCCTGCCTGCTTGTCTGTTTGTTTGTCGGTCGGCCGGTCTCTCTCTCTCTCTCTCTCTCTCTCTCTC